TATTTTATTTATTGTAATTGTTTTTTTTTCTGGTAATTTTTTTCTTATGTTTACACAGAAAAAACCTAATCTCAAATTGAGTATAAAAAATTTATACTCAATTTGATACGCATCAAAAATGAGACAGGCAGATGGCGCCACGTTCTATGTCATTTAACCCATTAACGACCGCCAGGACGAAAAATTTACCTTCACTTAGCAGCTGTTATTTTATATGAAAAAATAATTTGAAAAATTCAGGATAGCCCATTTCTAACGTAAAATTTATCGCTCTTTTCGATTCTGAAGTCCAAATTTAATTATAATTAAATCCTTAATATTTATAACAATTTTATTGCAAAAAAACATGATTTTCTGCAAAAAAAATTTTTATTCAAAAAATATTTTGACATGGAAAACGACAGTTAATTTGCTATTGAAAAGTAACTTCAGATTCGTAACCGGCGACCCCAAAAACCCCCGAGTAACAAATTTCAGATAAATCCATTGAGTTTTTGAAAAAATTGTCCACCATATTGGATCCGCCATTTTGAATTTTTGAAAACTTATACCGTATTCGTGTTTAGTGACCCAAAAAACATAAGTATATGGTGCAGAAATAAAAATAATTCATCAATATATTATTTTTTGCAAAATAGTATTTTTTAAATCTTTTTTAGTGGAAAATCGCCATTTTGTCGTCCGCCATCTTAAATTTTGAAATTCGCAACTATACAGTTTTGTAGCTGGGTATTCGAGGACGCGATATTTTGGGTTCCGGAGCAAATTAACTGTCGTTTTCCATGTCAAAATATTTTTTGAATAAAAATTTTTTTGCAGAAAATCATGTTTTTTTGCAATAAAATTGTTATAAATATTAAGGATTTAATTATAATTAAATTTGGACTTCAGAATCGAAAAGAGCGATAAATTTTACGTTAGAAATGGGCTATCCCGAATTTTTTAAATTATTTTTTCATATAAAATAACAGCTGCTAAGTGAAGGTAAATTTTTCGTCCTGGCGGTCGTTAATGGGTTAATATGAATTTATTTTGATATGCAACAAATCAACTTTTTTCCGTGTAAATAAATTATTCAAATTCAAATCGATAAAAAGATTTCAGTGCGATTTTTTTTTAAAATTAACGAATTAGAAATTATCAAGAAATTGGTAAATTTTAAAAATTTCTGCGAAATTTTAGCGTCGATTGTTTCGTTTGGTCATTTGCAATTTCGGACAAATGAAAATTTGATGTCTTAAGAAATCTATTAATTCATATAAAGCAAAATTAGAACAAATAAAGAATCGGTGAATTGAAAATTCAATGAATTCAAAATTTGTTAAAATTAAATGCCAATTCAAAAAAAAATTCGCTAAAAAAATAATTATATATCTAATAATGTTCTTGATAGTAAAAATTCTAACCAATTATTTTTATATGCACCCAGAGAAATGATATATTTATCTCAGCGCCTAATAAATATTTATATTTGATTCAAATAAATATTTATTTGCTTTAAATAAATTTTTATTTGTGATTTAAATAAAAAATTTTATTTACACCAAATAAATAGGCTAGTGGGCTGTGAGACAAATATACGTTATATTATTTAACTCAAAATATATTATATTTGGTTCAAATAAAACATTTTCTCTGAAAAGTGATCTACACTGAAATAAAAATTTTAAATTCAAAATATATTGAATCGATTATTTAATAAAAATAAAAATTATTTGATCCTAATATAAATACTTATTTGATAGAAGCCAAGTAATCGATTACTTGAACCAAATTTAAATTTTCTTTTATTGTATTAAAAAAACAGAAATATCGTTTAATTACATTATTAATTAATGAAAATGAGAAAAAAATTAAATTCTATTCTTAACAGCAAGAGAAAATTATACATTAAAAAAAAATAATCTCTAATTGAAAAACGTTTATGTTCTTTAATCCAAAAATGTAAACTAAATTAAAATTATTTTAAGACCGAAAATTGATGTTCTAATTAAAAGTAAAAAAAGAACGTTTTAATCAAATATTGAAAACTATTTTTGTTGTATTTTCACGTTTTTCTCCCCAATTTGAGATACAAATCTATATGTCCTCTATTTAAATTCACTAATAAACTTTAAATAAATCTAATAGTAAAAAAAAACTAAATTTAATTTTTCCTCAGTAAAACTTTTTTTCTTATGTAGCGGGTAAAAAAAAGGAGAAGCATTAAAAAGAAGAATATAAAAAAGGTAAATTTCAAAATGAACCCAGAGTAATGTAAATTTAATGCGGAAATAAAAGTTCCATTTCGATATTTAAATGTATTTTAATTTTAATTTTTTTTTCTTTTCTTCTTTTTTCTTTGAATGTGTGTGTGTGTTAGAAAGTGTGTCGTGATTTTTATCGTCCTTGCATGACTTCTTTTTGTCGTTAAAAAAAAAAGAAAAAAAAAAAACTAAACCTCGAAATGAGAAGAGAAGCAGAAAGCAAAACAAGGCTATCGTAGTAACTATAAGTAAATGGCATTTCTAGGAATCGCGCTCCACCTTATCAGGACCAAACGTCTTGTAATTCTTATCTCACATCCGTGCGTACATCCGTATCTTGAGAGTATTGTGAAAATAGTCAACAAAGCAAATGGTAAACTGAGTGGATTCAAATCATTCTTTATTTGATATTAAACGACTCGTTACTATATACTATATATTTTTTTTTGCGTGTTAATAAAACATAATAAAATAACTGATGTGAGAAAAAATTATATATTTATTTGATTTCTGATTTTTCATAAAGAAAAAAAAAAATAATAGCCTTAATAAATGGTAATAATTTTATAATGGGGACATTTTCTGAAAATAAAAGGTCTTTTGTCATGAGAAATTAAAAGAAGAAGAAAAAAAATGGAATATTCTCCATCTTCAGTGACAAATGGACATTGTGAACAGACCTAATTTTGATGCGGAGTCGTTCAAACGTAAAAATAAAAGTTTTGAAAAACCCACGAAGAGAGAGAAAGAGAGGAAAATCGCAGTGATGGCACAAAGTGAAAAGTAAAAATTTTTTCCCAGCAGGGAGAACTTAATGTTTAATTTAAGATAGAGCAGTGCTACTCTCAACGGTGAAAAGTTATATCTAGTGGAAGGGGGGGGGGAGGAAGAAGGCTAGGTTCCAACATCAGTGAAGAGTAACGAGCACAGTCTGTTCACCAAAAGTGCCATGAAAAATCCCTTTTGCTTCTTACTTAAAGTTATATATATATAACACACTCTAACTTCCGCGCCTATGAAAATCGATCTCAGTGTATTAAGGTAATCAGTCATTATCTCAAGTATAAAGTAATCTGATGAGAATTTTCAGAAAGTTAACTTCTTCCTTTTTTTTTTGAAGAAAATACGTTTCATTGACGGTTTTCTTTTTTTTTTTTTTTTTTGAAATAATTTTAAAAATTAAACACATCTTATTATTATTAAATTATTTATTTGTTTCGGTAAAAAAAATTTCATTTATTCTTTAAATTTTTTATAACAAGTTTGAATAAAAAAAAAAAAAAAATATTGAAAATCACAAACTACGTTTCGAATGTAAGTAAATAATTCTTAATTTGCATTTTAATTGAACAAAAATTATATTTTTATATACAGTTACGCTTGATATACGTGAGCTTTATATATAAAAAAAAGAATAACTTTAACTATTGTATAAAACCAATACGTTGAAAGGATTTCATTCAGGATTATTAACAACTACATGGTAAATAAATATACAAAAAAAAGCTTTATATAGTAGAAAACGAAGTTCGTTTCAAATTTTTTTTTTTTTTTTTTTAATAGAAACAAACATTTTCATGTTAAAATAAATAATAAATAAAGTGAAACTGAATTTAGTACATAAATGAACGGAAATCTGTGCTTTACTGGATTTCAATATTTAATTGCTCAGTTGGAAGTTGAAAAGTAGAAAAAAAAATTCGCGTAAACGCGATTTCCTTTTGTAATCGAAGTTTAATTGCATTATAAATTTAAATTTCTGAAAACTATTTTCGTTAATTAATTTCCTCTTAGGTGCAAATGATTGGATCTAAATCATGACGTGAATGAACTGGGATTCATTTTTTTTTTGCTTGTTAATTTATAGTTGATACGAATAGTAATTAACAGGTCTTGTAATAATTATTATCCTGACTTTTAATACGTATAAATGTATGTATTTATAATTATTATAAATATTATAATTAATACTATTATTATATTCGTATTAATATTATAAAAAAAAGATAAATATAAAAATATAATTATTTAAATTCTATAAAATAATTATTTATTTATAATAATAGACAACAATTATAAATAATTATTACTATGGTAATTAGAAAAAATAATCAATTACACTGAAACTCGAGTTATTGAGACACAGGATTTTTGTGTCTCAATAAACAAGGTTTCAGTGTATAACAGTGAATATAAAAAATATAAATAAATATAAAAATATAATTATATAAATTATATAAATATGACTATATTTATAATAATAGACAATAATTATAAATATTAATTATTATAGAAATTAGAAAAATAACCCATTACACACTGAAACTCTATTTATTGAGACACAAGATCTTTGTGTCTCAATAATCGAGGTTCCAGTGTATTACAAATATTATTATTATTATTTTTAGTATTATTATTTTTATTATTATTATTTTTATTACTGTTATATTTTATGTAATTATTATATAATAAAATAAAGAATATAAAAATATAATTATTTATATTAAATAAATTATATAAATAATAATTATTATAGTGGAAACATAATTCATTACACTGAAACTCGAGATATTGGGACACAGGATCTTTGTGTCTCAATAATCGAGGTTCCAGTGTATTGGTAAATTATTATTTAGAAACATTGATAAAATAATAATAATTTTTTATGTTTTGGTGTAAAAATAAAAAATAATTAAAAAATTTTTATAATTAATATTTTCATTTGGTTTTTTTTTTTTTTTTTTTTTTTTGCAGTTGCGTGTTCAACAGTGACTGTGTCAAAATGTCAAGCAGCTTTGAAAACACTGCAAGCCTTCTCGTTCTTCCGGCCAACGTGCCTTTGCAGGGAACCTCATGTCGATCCCGAGTGCAACAACTTTCGTGACTTCCTCTTTGACCATCCATGTATCTACGTATTAAAAAAAGGTACGTTCGTAAAATATAATTTTCTTTTCAATTTCAGATTTATTCTCGAGAAATTCTTAAAATTTTTATTATAGGTAAAATTATAATTTATACAAAATTTCAAGTGAGAACACAGGTATTTTATTTTCTATCAAAAAAAAAAAAAGAAAAAAAATTTACAAATAAAATAACTATAATTATTAATTTTTTCTTTATTTTTACTATATAATAAATAATTAATAATAAAAAAAAAATTATTAAAGAAAAATTTATTCATTATATAGGTGAACAATAAATTTTTCTCAATGTGGAAAAAATGGGATCAGACAATTTTTTTTTTTCTTATAAAGTAGAGTGAGATAAATTGACTAACTTTTCAACAGAATCAAATAAGTTCCATTAACTTTGAACAATTCTCATTAATTTCTCAAAAAAATTTTTTTGGTAATGAGTTTAAAAAAAAAATTCCTTTTTTTCATATAATAGTTGTGAGAGCTGAATAGTTTTTAAATGAGTTTGAGAAATAAAAGTATTGGTTTCTCCTATAGAGGATTTCAGAAAAGTTTTTAGTATTTCTATACGAAGATCTTTTTATACTCCGCTCTGTATAATTGAAGTATTCTAAAAAGAATTTTTTTTTCAATTGTAACAATTATATAATTTTTTTTTTTTTTTTGAGAAGAAGGCAAATGAAAAAAATCGTACTGAAGTATACTAAGAAAAAAAGGGAGGAAAAAGGGATCGAAAGAGGGTGGGGAAGGAGGGGTGGTATAACACCTGCCCTCAATTAAAGAGTGTTTAATTCCATTTTAATTACGCTTACTTAATCTATAGTGAAGGTTGATCACGAACTGGGATAGAATAATGAACTTAACTCACCACTAATGCCGTTGGAGAAATTGCAAAATTTCTCTCGGGATCTGAGATCGAATTATTATTATTTTCAAAAGGATTCAGGAAATTAAAATCATTTTTAATGTTTATTTTAGTTTTTTTTTTTTTTTCATCAACGATACGTATATTTATTGCCTCAAGAGAGTTTTGAAATTTTCTATCAAAAAATAATTTTTTAATCTATTTTTTTATTTTTCAATCAAAAAAATAATAAATAGGAAAAATATTTTAAAAAATTTTTCCTGTATTTTATTTAATTAATTTTTTTTGCCACTTTTTTTATTTAATTTCATGTTTTTACATTAATTAAATATAAATTAAATTAAAATATCTCGTATTTAATTAAATGAATTTAAATTTTTAAAAAATTTCCATTTTCTTTTTACATTTAATTATATTTGTTAATTAATTTATGTGGAGAATATAAATTTGATTATATTTCAGTTATACAATTTCAGTTTCAATCAGTAAACTTGTGTTAACTGGAGGTCAAATGATAATAATAATAATTTTATTCAAAAGGTAATTAATAATATTGAATAACTGTCTGTGATTTTTAATTTTAATATGAAGAATTAAATGACTTTGACAATGATATAATAAGTTTTATTAATACGTGATATATATATAAAATGTTTGACAACATAAAGAGTTTCTAGATCCCTTACGTGGAGAACTTAATCAAACGGTTATTGGAAATGTCACGAGGTACATACATATATATATATATACGTATGTGTTTGTAACTTGTTATAAGTTTTCTTCTTTTCGATATCGGAAAGAAGTAAGAGTTTCTTATAGACTACAATGTCATCCTCGTTATGTCCATCGCGTACTCTTACGCCTCCTTGAACTCAAAAGCCCTTCGTGGCGAACTTCATCTTGCTTTTGCCATCCAAGAATTTTTCGTTCGTTCCAAAAAACTCGAGAAAAAAAAAGAAAAAAAATACAACACACACACATACAAGCCTATCATGTTTTCGCGACTTGAAACCTTGATGAGTTTCGACCAAAGTAAAGGTAGTTTTCCTTTCTTATATTCGACATGAGAAAATACAATTTCGATCTTCTGAACAATGTGCTAAACGTCTGTTGATTTTTTGTCTATAAAGACTTTGTTCAAAAAAAGAATTTTTTTATTTTATTTTAGTTTTTACTTTTCCAATTGTGAGACAAAAGAACAATTTTTTGAAAAAAGAAATTTAAAAATTTAGGACTTTTTTGAAAAATTAAGTCTCATAAATACATCCAGATATTAATTATTATTGACTCAGAAATTCTCAAGAAATTAGGAAAACTTTTAAAATAATTATTCTCATTATTCTGAAACGAAGGAAGAAAAAGTTTTTACAATAAATTATTTTTATCATTCAGAAAATGAAAATTGAAGTGATATTTGTCATTTATGTCTGTCATTATATAATTTCTTTCATTATATAATTAGCAGTTATAAATTTCTTCTATTGGTAAATTGTGAAGTGATTTAAAAATATTTCTAACTTCTGTGCAATTTATTTTTTGTAGTTTCTATATTCCAATTACAAAACTTTCAACTAAATTCTTTTAAATAAAATTTTCCATTGAATTTTAATGATTCATTTCATATAAACGTCTTCAAAACTGTCTCATCTTCGTTAGAATTTAAATTTGACGTGAAAACGTTGAATTACAAAGGTATTATTCAGCTATTTCTGCTTTCAAAAAAAAAAGAAAAAAAATGGAAAAAGAGATGTCTTTGGAATTAACGTTGAGAATAAATTGGTGACCATCATCATCATCATCACTGTGTGTGGAGATAAAAAAAAGATTCTTTTCTACCTTATTATTTAAAGTCAACGTCATTGGCCCCGAGACGGATATGACTAGGTAGCAAAGTTAAAGAGAGAGAGAGAGGGGGGAAACAAAAGGCCTACGATATCTTTGACTGTGCACCTCTTATACATCCCCACCCCCTCCCCCCTTGGGCTCTCTTACTCTTCTCTTTAAGGCCTCCATTGTTCATTTTCCCGAGGGCTCGTTCGTCCGGGCCGTCGAGCCTTTTGAACGCTTCAACGATTCACAGATAATTCCCGATGCGCTCTTTTCACCAAAAGGTTGGTTCCCCGTCTGGCATTTCCTCGTTTCTTTCCTCCGCGCAAAAGAATACTGCATCCTTCTGTCGGGGTTTTTTTTCTATCTTTTTTTTTATTGCATCTTGGACTTCTTGGTATCTTTTTTTTTGCTCTCAATTTTTCTCAGTTTCCTCTTTCTAGATTATTGCACTTTGCGCAGGAAACACTTTTTCTAGGTGCCAAAAATTTGGAGAATTTTATTGCACTTGAGAATTTAGACATATTTTCTTTTGTATGAAGATATATTTGATTATTTTTTGATTACTTTTTTTGTGGCTAAATTTGCAATACTTATAGAAATTAGAATTTATCTCGATAGTGAGAGAAAGCGATTTCAACATCTGGTGGCGAAAAGTAGGAACTAATTAACAGTCGGTAATGGTTTTTTTTTTCCGTGTCGTAGTTTCTATTAGGTGACGCTAGATGCCGTGGTCGCTTTTTCTCTCACTGTCGAGATATTATGTTTTCAATTCTATAAAAACTGCACTCAGAGAAATATTTTATTGTTTGAGACAAATAAAATTTATTTGAGGCAAAATTAAAAATATATATTTTTCTTAGAATCTAATAAATTTTTAATTGTTTTAAATGAAAAAAAATTATTTAGCACTAATAAAATTTTATTTAGAGCAAATACAATTTTTATTTAGCACAAATAAAAATTTTCATTTAACTCAAAATTTATTTGTAGTAAATAAATATTTAACTTAGAGAAAAAATATATATTTTTTCCCTGAATGTAAATATTGAGAATAGAAAAAGTAATCCAAAATTATCAGTTGAAAATAATTAATATAGATATTAATAATAAAAAATAATAATAATTTTATATTTGTATAAAATTTTGAACTGTATTTAAATATACTAATTATAATTATTATACTTAACATTAAATAAAACAGGATTCGATTTTTTGAAGACACTCTTCATGCAGCCAAAAAAAAAAAAAAAATACTTACACAATTTTTGTTTAATCGCATAATTAATATAATGCTTTAATCGTCGTAATGTTGCATAATCCGTTTTCTATTTTTGTTAGGTGCGCGGAGAAAAATGAGTTGTCTGCCGAACGAAAATTTGTGTAAGTATTGCGTCAATAAGAAAGAAAAAATTTTTTTTTTTTTTTCAAATAGTGATTGCAGAATATGCACACACACAATAAATTGTTGTCACGAATACAACAATTGTTGTAAGCTTGAGACACCTTGACAACAATTGCTTGTTTAAACAACAATTCATTTTTCTCCGAGTAGATGCTAGAAAATTTTTTTTTTAGATATTATCACTATCTTCATTAGATTAATTCACTTTTTTTTGAGTTAGGAAACTGATTCTGATATATATATATATAAAGTTTCGCACGTTATTCTCTTCTTTATATAGGTCAACAATTAGGTTTCATCTTTTTTAATTTTACATTAATGGTTCATCAATTTTTTCAAATTTGCAAGGTCTGTAGAAAACAATTTTATTTAACTATATTGTTATTTATAGTTTTAATATTATTTATTGAAACAATTATTTAAATACAAAATTTTTTTTTCTGAATTAAAAAACTATTTTTCTGTCTAAAATTAATAAATTGGAATTTTTTCCACTGCACCGAAGTTTCTTCAATTAATTTATTAAATAAATAAAAATAAACTATTATTATTATCATTAGGTATATTAATAAAAACGTTTATTTTTATTTTCATAACAAAAACATTGTCAATTGTTTTCTTTTGCAAACCTTGCAAAATTGAGGTTCATTATATATGATTCTAGGATTTCGACGTATTATAATAGTATCTGATAACTTGTTTCCTTAACAATTATGGTGAAAAAATAAAATAAATAAAACAGTGTATAATGAGATACAATTACTGAAAAGTTTTAATCACATTTGGCAAACTCTAAAAGAGGGATTATATACAGCCTTCAATATAAGGTATACCTGTATTTATATATAAGTGATTTGTATTATATTTATCCAAAAAAAAAAATGAATGAATAATTTCAAATGCAAATTTATTCGCGTTAATAATAAAAATGCAATTTCTTTGTCAATCCTGGGAGAACAAATATTTTTCTTTTTCCAATGTATTATTTTTCATATATATATATTTATGAAATAAATAATTTTTTTTTAATTAGCTCATTATTCATCATTATTTTATTTGATTATAATTTTAAAAATCTTTTTTTTGAATAGATTTTTAAAGAAAATTCTCTTTTTCTTTCATTACAGACAAAGAAGCCGGTCCTATTGATACTTTACCGAATTGCAATCATGCTTTAAGTGTGTGTCAACGTGAGAAATCCTGCACCAAGTTGTTCGAAGATTTTAAGAGCAACTGCAAAGCGAGGGATGGCAAATGTAGAATAGAAAATCGGTGAGTTTTTCTTTTACAAAAAATTTTGTAAATTGTTTTTTTTTTTGATGTCATTTTATTTTCACACGGCATGAATAAGCGGATAACCAGAGCGCGATATCGTTTCACTCTGTGCTCAGCAACTCTCTCTCGTTGAACTTGTTCGGCATTTCATACGAATTGGTGTGGACAGAAGCGCTAAAATGCGTTCGGATTCTATTTCCCCCCTTGCCACCCCCCCTCTCTCTCTATTTCGATGTCGTCAAGCACCAATGTTTCAACCCACGTACTAATTTCTGGTGTGAATTCAGCTTAACTGTCATCCTCGTTGTCGAGGAAATGCCCGTCGCTAAAACAATCGGACAAACGCGAAAACTGCATCAGCTTTGCACAAATTCGCGCTAATTGTTTCCTCCTGCTCTCGACGAACTCACACGTACAATACGGGTGTGATTAGTGAATCTCCATTGCTGGAAAATCCACTGGACTTGAAGTTATACGATGATGACCCGTAACCTTTATCCTCACCTCCTCCCTTCACTTTTCCCACCCGTGTTGAAAAGGTGCGAGAAAACCACGTGCGATTCCGGAACAGGGAGAAAATCTCCGGAATATTATATATATATATAAAAAAGGGTTAAAAAAAATTTTTACTATTAAAAGAAAAAAGTTATTTTCATTAAAATGACAGAGAAAAAAATATTTGGAAAAATATTTTTTTTGTTTTATTGCTATTTATTTACAGTAATAAACAGGCTTATAGAAAATTAAACAACCCTTCAGTACAGTTGTAACGTTTGTAATTGAAAGAATCAATATTTAGCTCGCCGAGCCGGGGTTCGTTTTGATTCATTACACAAAAAAATAATAACAATAACGGGTTAATTACAAACTGAAACAAATTATTTTTTACAACGGTATTTACAGGTGACGAAAATATACAGGCGTACAGATAAATGTAATGTAATGTTGTAATAGCTATAAATAAATATTTATTAATAAGAAAAAGAAAATAAAAAACAAATACGCGACATTATTATGCGATCGATGGCCAGCTGACAGGCGTGCGCGCGCCGAAACTATAGAACGCGAGACCCAGGCAAAAGGCACGGACGGTGGAGAAAGGCCCCAGTGCACGGAGCGAAAAGTTGCGCGTCAGCAATCCAGAATCGACCTAGCGCCGCGCAGACCGAGAGATTTCTCCCTCCAGACGCCCGATCCGATCGTTTGCCCCCACCACTTCCCAGCCGGTCGAGCGGGTATAAAAGAAGGCGAATTTTCTAAATCGAGACAGAACTGAGTTTTACTCAGAGCAGTAAGGTGTTACCTCACTGCAATAACTTAGAGTGTTACTCTTAGTTGATAGAGTTTTACTCTCATATACGAAGTATGTCGAGTTTTACCCGAACACATTGAAATCAAACGTTGGAATAAATTTTGTTCTTTAAAACAGGTTTTAGATATACTTAGAGTTTTACTCTTTGTATAGGTAATCACGAGTGTTACTCGTGATTATTCAGGGTCACCGAAATTTCACACCACCATTGAGGAACAGAATCTACAGAATTTCGTGGCTCGACCTGTATCGAAGCCGATTCTACCCCGCGGCTCAACACTCCCGATGGGCGCCGGTTAAATCGAGTCTCTAGTAGATATCGCGTTTTTCCTTAAATATTATAATTAGTAGACCCTCCAGAATCTCGTACCAACCATAATTAATTTTCTTTTATATTTATTACCCGCAATTCCGTTCAATATAACTAATTTTACTGTTCTGTATTAATCCGTAAATGTTTCGCGAATCTTGCGAGCTGATCGCCATTATCATTGTTAACGTAGTTTTCGTCACTACCATTATACTGTCTTATTCTTTTCATGTAACAAAACCGATCGCACGGTACTTTATCTATTAAAGAAGACAATGAAACTTGATATCAGTCCGTATCCGACTAACGTAAAGTGTCAAACAATTTTATGTTGTATGTAAATAGTATTGTAAATAAATAAGATGTTTTAGTTTGTAATCAACCGTGTTATTATTTTATTTTTTGAATCAAAAAACCCTGGCTCGGCGAGCTAATTAGATTCATTAATTACAAACGTTACAATAAAAACAGTAAAACTCTGAGTATATATATCTAAAAAACGGTACAAAGAACGGAAAATCTATTTTAAACTGAGGGAATACGATATTTCTTTACTATACATTTGTTACGTTACTTTACATCTTGATACATTACTTTATAATTCGTTACTATACACATAAAACCGATATACTGTTCGACGGGTAAAACCCGACGAACAAGAGTAAAACTCCTAGTCAAGTGGATAAGACCAACCCGGACTCCGTGTAGCACGAGAGTGACGGTCCTCAGCGGGAGCGCACCTTATATAGCCGTTCGGTGGGCTGATCGTATGCGAGAGAGCTTTCAGCGATGCGGCCCGCGCGGCGAAATCGGGTACTATGTTGCTGTACTCTGCGGTCGGTAACATGTTTATCGACTCACGATAATATTTAGTATAAATATTTACCGGCCGATTTCTAACTATCATTATACACAGTTTGTACTATTTTTAACTTAGAATACAAAAAATTAACAAAAAAAAACAAGTAGAAACAAAAGAAAACTAAAATAATAATAATACACTGAGAACAAAATTTTTTGTTCATATAATGTTTAATTTAAATTTATTTAACACTCAGAAAAATGATCTCAAAGTCAAATAAATTTTATTTCATTTAAATAAAAAATTTATTTGAGCCAAATAAATATTTATTTATGACGAATAAAATTTTTATTTACGACAAATAAATAAGTAAGTAGGCCTTGAGACAAATGTACAGTGTATTTTGTCAAATAAATATTTATTTTGTATTAAATAATTATTATTTATATCAATTAAATAATATTTGTATCAAATTAAAAATTTTTTGGTCCAAATACGCAATGAGAGAAATGATATATTTTTCTCAGTGCTAAATAAATATTTATTTTTTATGAATATATTTTATTTGGTTAAATAAAAATTTAATTTTCTCTAAATAAAATTTTTCATTTAAATAAATAAAAAGTTATTAGTGACAAATATATATTTTTGTAATTCAAATATATATTTTTGTAATTCAAATATATTTTTATTTGATTCAAATAAATGCAAATATAAAATATTTCTCTAGATGCACTGACTTTAAACAATATATAATATCATTATAAAAATATTATTCTCACGTTTGTATTTTTCATCAAGCTAATAAAATTGAGTTTCATTTCGTTTATATGAAACAAACATTAATTTCTTGATGATATTTTGGAAAATAATCAACATATATGTTAATTAGTGGACATACTTTAAAATGAAAATTTTATGAATTTATACGTTTTATGAAAATTGCTCTTTTGCAAAGCACACACTATACTTTCGAGTTAAATTAAAGCCATTAATCTTAACATTCTCTCTCTCTTATTAAAAACATTTTAAAACCAAATATGGTATACTTAAATGGCATTTACAATTGTTTGCTTATACAATAAATTGCTTTTTTAAACAAAATTTTACGTGATTCTATTATTTTTCATAAATATTAAATCTCGTTTTACCTTTCTTTTTTCTTGAACATTGGAAAAAATAATTTTTTATTTCGAAATGAAATAAAGTTAAAAACAATTTCCCATAATATTTATTATTAATTTTATTTTCGCTCATTTTGATGTGCATAAATAAAAATTAAAAAATACTGATTATTATTTTAGGAAAGTTTTTTTTTTTTGAAGATTATCTCTCGTACAATTGGACGTTTCAAATGCATATTGTGAATTTAACATATATTTACTCAAATGCATAATATGTGTGGGATTATATGAATTACTAAACACATACGTAGAATTCAAATTTCTGATATAGGGAGATTAGAAGCTTGTCAAGTTCAGGTGAAATTATACTTGAAAATGGGCAATTTGAATTTTATATTAGAGGCTCAATTCAAAATTCAATTTTACTTCAATTTCGATTTTTAGATGAAACCACAAAATAGTGTTATTTTTAATTTAAAAATTTGAAATATTTATATTTTTTTATAAACATTATAATTTTGGATTTTGAATTCAAATATTCCGTTAACAATCGAAAAATCCTATTTCCCTTGATTTTAATCTTGTATTCTACCATAAAAAAAGTATTCGTGAAGGTTTTGTCTGACTAAAAATTACTTCTACTACTGACTAAAAAAATTGCAAAGTATTTAGAAAAGTTTCGTCTGACTAAAAAATACTTCTACTACTGACTATAAATTTACAATTATTTAGGAAAGTTTTGGCTAACTATAAATGACTTTTACTACTTATAATATAATTACAAGAATTCTGTAAAGTTATGTCTGACTAAAAATAAGTTTTACTACTGATATTTAGTTTATAAATTATTCTAAAAAAATTTTGTCTGTTACAAAATTATTTCTACTACTGATGCGGAAGTAAAAAGAATTTTGAAAATTTACGCCTGACTAAAATCGACTTTTTCTACTGACAGGAATCTTTAGAAATTTTTAGAAAAGTTTCGTCTGACTAAAAATTATTTCTACTACTGCCAATAAAATTACATGTGTTTATGAAAGTTTTGACTGACTATAATTTACTTTTACTACTTATAGTTGAATTACAAAAATTCCGGTAATGCTTGGCTGACTAAAATCAACTTTTACTACTGACATTGACCTGAACAGTATTTTGGAAACTTTTTTCTGACTAAAACTGACATGCTCTACTAATACAATAAATAAAATATAATAATTAAATGTAATAAATAAATATAATAAATAAATATAATAAATAAATTTAATAAATAAATTTAATAAATAAATTTAATAAATAAATTTAATAAATAAAATATAATGAATAAAATATAATAAATAAAATACAATAAATAAAATATAATAAAACTAGGATGATAAATATAAAATAAATTTAGGACAAGAACGCGTCTTTTATTTAAAGAATCTTAACTCTCGCTCAGTATATAGAACA